CGATTTCCGTTATTTTTTCCATTTTCTTTTGCTTTATATCTTCATTATCTGTAGTAGCCACTAAATTTATTATGTTTTTCAGTTCTCCTAAAATAAGATCAAAGGTTCTTCAATTCTTTTGAAACAAAAACTATTTCGTTAAAGAAACCAAATAATCATGTCCAAAACTCATCCCAAAATGTTTTCCAGCATTTGAAAAGAACCTAAGCTTTAAACAGATTCGAAATTTTATATGACGATTATTTTCCTCGTGATACAACTTCATAATAATTGAATAAGAAACCTGTTTTTTCCTTTAATGGTCTATATCCAACATCATTAACGATCTTAACATATATTCCCATACCATGAAATGGAAAACCAACAGTTTCGCTGTTGCGTGATTTAGCAATTGTTTTCACATTGGCAGTGAGCATTTTATAGCCTTCTAAAGACAAATTTCACTAAACTGTCAAAAAGAAAACTATTCGTAGTTTTTCTAAAAACTTCTGTAACATTGACTCACCAATCCAATCCTTCGAAAAAAAGTTTCGGTATTCAACTCGCAAAGTTTTCCCAACCAGATGTGCAATCATGTAGAAAGGATCAACAGCACCAACGATAACGCACTTTGGATAATGTTCGGCATTGTCCACATGAACAATAAGAGGTTTTTCAGTATTAGGTTCATCTCTAAAAACCAAAATTTTCCTCACTGGAAGAAAATTTTAGAATCTAAGTAAATGACAACAGGCATGGCGAATACATCGCATGTAATTCAAAGGATGATCTACGCTAAAAACCAGGATCACTACTATTTATTCATTTATTACTAATAAGTCTACAACTAGGATAATACGGGAATTGGTTGGAATTTCGTCAAAAATATGTCTGAGCCAAGTTTTATGGTATTGCATAAAAACATAAAAACCAAAAAAAAATATTCAATCTTACTGATTTTTTCAAATACAGTTCATAATTACTTAACAAATGGATTAAATCAGTTATGAAGAATAACAGTGTTTGAGTAAAGTTATGTAGTTATAAACAAAAAATAATGATATACCTCCAATAGACATATCGACCATTATCATACACCGCCAGTGTTTGCATTTCTGGCAAGTCGGTAGCAAACCTGTCGTGCAACAAATATTTTTCCGTATCTGCATCGTTGAAATGTCCGGCAAGATAATCAAATACTCCACAAAGTCGTAAACACTTTAAATTCCCATAAACACCTGAAAAATCCAACAGAATGAAACCCCACATAAATGTTATCATAGGGCATAGTTTAACCACAACACCTAATTAATTTCGACCAAATTATTGACGAAAAAAGGGACGTAAGTAGAAGAGAAGATCACTGTAATCACTGGCTATCGGTTAAGACAATAAGAAACATAAGACTTGTACTTATATTAACAATATTTATAGTAAGTTATATTTATATATTTGACATGACGTGAGAAAATTCACTTACACTTCCGACTAGTTTTCAAATAATCATTTATAAATTCAGCTATACACTCTTAGTGATATGATAACTGCAAACCGAAAAATACACTACTCAGTACTGTCACCAGTTGTATTAATCATCAAAAATCTACATAAAAGGAGGATTCAAGGAAATTATTCAATGAAATGTTAAAAGTATGAGTTTTTTCTTTGCATGAATAAATAACATAAAGTCATATCATCAACCACTCCATGATTTAATTATTAGAATAACAAAATGTGGTGAGGAAGTAAGTACTGATAAGGTGGGTCAAGAAAGCAATTAGTGATACCTTTTTTAAAGACCAGGAAAATGCTATCGATAAAAGATATCATCAGTTGATCGGTTGAAACGGTTTTCATAACAAACAAAAAATTGCACAGAGATTTCCAAATATAAAAACTTGCCACATGGATCGCCATCTTTTCCCGTCAATTTTTGGACATGCTTCCAGAAAAGAAAGAATTCTTCGGGAAACAAGCAGAGATACTTCGTTTCCAGATCTGTTTTTAAGACATCAGCCTCGAATGTAACACGCTTCGATTTGATTTCGTCGGAATGTGTAGAATGCAACGAAGAGTTAATCTTAAAAAACAAAAAAAAAAAAAAAAAAAATAAATAAATAAATAAAAACAAAAACAAAAGAAAAGGCTAACTTACGTATTTCATTTGAAGTTACAAGGACTTCATTTCAATTATTCATTCTTCCCAGATTTGATTGTATATTATTTTGAAACATTCTTTGAAAAAAGTTGAAATATGTGTTTCTTTTGAAATTACTTAAACTTGTAAACTTTTCAAATGTAAACAAAAAAGAGTATATACATCAATATTTTCGATTTCGTTCGGTGGTTCAACTGCATGATCACACAGTTCCTTACGTTTCTTGTCCATCTCCTTGACGCTTTCACACGCTTAAAATTCATTTTTTTTTTCTTTTTTTTTCATAAATAGCACTGCACTAATCAATACCAAAATATCATAGGTAAGTAATGAAATTTTTATTTTTTTATTTCTGAACACATTTTTCTTTTTCTTTCTAATACTAACGCAAATAACAAAAAAGAAACAACGAAAAAAAGAATAGACAACAACTCAACACAACAAGAAATCAGAAACCATTTTCAAATACGAAATAATTCGTTCGTTATTTTATGGATGTTACGCCTGTGAAAATTTTCCATCCCAGGGTGAAATTTACTTCATAAAACATGAACATTTTCAAAAGTAAAATATTTTATGTCAGATATACACGTAGGATAGGTTACGCTTAAGATAGATTAACTTATTTCATAAATTTAGCATATTGTAGTTTTTGAATTTTAGCAAAGTAAATAAAAAGTAAGTTACCCCTATTTTTTTAACTTTCATCATTTTCCATTAATGCGCTTATTTTCATTTCTTTCATCTACCATTATTAAATGATAATTGATTGAGAGGAAATAATTTGGATTTTAAGATTACTCCATCTGAAATATCAATAATTCGATTATTTTTTCTAAAATAATTCGATTATTCTTTATCAAACTTAAACAGCAAATTTGACAATAACGGGTTAAAACCATAAATTGCCCCCCTAAACAAAAAAAAAAAAAAAAGAATTATAATACATATTTTTTGTTACCATTTCTTTTAAAGTTTTCATTTAAATGGTATAATCGTATTGCTGAGCGACGAGAGTTGTCATGTAATATCAACCGGATCCGGTATATTTTGATCAAGTAATTTTCTCCACTTCCATGAAGATTTCAAGGTTTTATTTTTTTTAAAAATGTACTACATACTATTTGTTGCTGTCTTCATAACGCTAGGAAGAACATTCATGATGATATTTCAGGAATTTGTCGGTACAAATAAGGTTGGAGAAATTCTGAGATAAAAGCAATAATGATAAGGATAAGGATGATTGCAATGATTATAATGATATGATAAATAATAACAGCTGATGATAGTGATAATGGCAATGATAGTGTGAACAACAGATGACAATGACGATAATACTGATGATAATTGTGCGACAAATTTCAGAAATAATAAAAATCTCATCTATAAATTGTTAATTATTTTAAAAAGTACACAGAAAAGAATCTGGTTATATTTAGCACTTCTTTCAGCATTATTTCTTTACCGATATTAAATATTAAATTATAATTTCGATTAGAAGTGGTGTTAATATTACGATATGGATAAATGAATGAATTATTTTTGTATGTCTCAATCAAGCTAATGGATACATTGATGTTTGATGATAATGAGCGGAAATTAAATGATCCGAGATTAACCGGATAATCTTAATGGGCGGGTAGATTATAAAGAAGCATTATTTGATTGGTATTTGCAATTTATTTGAGAGTGGAACAATTGAAACGATTGAAATGTGATGTTGAATTAATTGAAATGATATAGTATGTTAAATGAGTGAGAGTGATAATTTTAATGATTTATCATTGGAATGCTTGTTAGGATAGCAACATTTCGAATATATGTTATTAATTGCATTTGACCATCAATTAAATATGTTTGAAATGTTAAATGATGTAAAGTTATTGCTTGTTGAATCTTCAACATTTGATTCATCAAAGCTACTTGTATTTTATTCTTTTTGAATTGCCATCTTTTAACCTATAACACTGATTGGTGATAACAGGCGGTATCCGTTTTATGATAGGAGCATTCTGTAATAAAATTAAACATTAAATGATTATCAACAATTCCAGGGATACTTTTTAAATATCGATTAGCGAGTTAAAATGGTAACATACATCAATTTTGCGCCATGAGATATCGAAAAAATTTAATCATCAGAAAAGGAATAGTCGGAACCATTAGTAAACAATCAGAATGCAGATAAAATGACAGTTATGTGGAAGACTTCAAGGTATGTATGTCATCTTAAAGTTTGCATGCAGTTAAGGAGAATTTGGTACTAATAAAGGTGTGAGAAAGAAGAGATAACATGAGACAAATGAAAGATTAAATGGAGACAGACATGACAGAAATCAAAAAGGAATACGAAGAAGGAAAAAGGAAAGGAAATGATAGTTGTATAGGAGATACGAAGAGATGACAAAAAAACCGATGATAATAAGAAAGTTTAGGATGGTTATATGGTATAAGTATAGTTACAAACGATAAAGAGAGAAGGAGATATTGTGAAGTGAAATTTGAACTAAAGTTTCATGAGAAATAATGATTGCGTAGTAAAAGGAGACAGATGATGAAGAAGAAAGGCTCAATAAATGAAAGGATTGCTATGATGAGAAGAGGGAATGTTGCTCAAGCAAGAAGTGGGTATTTCACCTTATCCGGGAATAAAAAGGGAGAGCAAAAAGGAGAGGGAGAGAGAGAGGAAGAGGAGCAATATACTACTACGTGTACGTACCGAAACGTTCCACTGGCTCTGTGTTTAATGTGGTCATTGGTCACGGCCTAATTCAGAAAATTTTTGCCGTATCGTCGCATCACCCATTTCATTTCAATTGGCCATTGGATGGATGATATGAAGGTTAAAAGAGATGAGAATTGGAAATGGAGGGGAGAGGGAGAGGAGTGGGAGGAGGGGGGGGGGGTTTAAAGAGGTAAAGGTGAAGGTGGACGACATATGTATCATCGCATGATGATGACATTCCAGCACCTGTATTTCATCCTCCTCCTCTTCCTCCTCCTCCACCTTCTCCTCTTTCTCCTCCTCTTTCACCATCAGCAACCTTTACCCCCACTCCTATTTTGTCCCCCGCCTTTACAGATTCTTCAAAGCACATTTCAACGTTTCGAAAACCTTCCCACCTCTTATCTGAATTTACACCCTCCATTCTATCCGCACTGTTGCATTTACTACTTTCATACTTTATTCCTCCATTACTTTGAAAATCTTAATTTAAACAATGATAATGATTAATAATGATAATGGTAATGATAATAATGGTGATAGTAATTTATAACTTTTCAACATTATTACTCTCTCTCTCAATTTCCTTATATTTTTTCGTAATTTTTAAGTATCATTAGACATTGTTTACTGGTACTTTATTAAACAAACAAATTGTTAATTCAAAACGTTCATTTGTTTGATTAATCAGTTCACTCATTGTTCTTTTTATTTCCCTGAGGATATAAAAATCCATTTGGTAAAATAATTTTTCTTATCTTCAAATTCTTTTTTTTTTTTTACCATTCTTTAAAAGGCTTTTCAAAATATTCACAAATAAAACAATTTCATTCATTCAAAGAAAAACCAGTTCTTTCATTCAATCTTTCGGGTAAATGTTCCAAATTGTTAAGAAATTAAATACCGATCATTGTTGTTACTAACAACTTTTTGTTTCTCCTTTTTTTTTTTTTTTTTTTTTATTTCTTTCTTTTTTCTTTTTGCCTTTGTAGTTTAAAAGATATGCATAAATAACAGATAAGTAATTAACATAATCATTTATCAGTAATGAAGCTATCATTATTGTTTTATTCAGATAATATGAATTAGTGAATATTTGTTAATTATAACAATTTATATTTCCTTTCAATAAATATAATTGAAACTCATATATGCATTTTCTTTTTTCTTTCTTTTTTCTCGATTTTAGTTAAAAAAAAAGATGGATGCTTTAGATTTAAAGCTAATAAAACTACGAAAAAATTTTTTTTTTTAGATGAAAATATAATTTTTGCTTATTATGTATATAAATCATTTTTAAAAAATTGATATACATTCATATTCATACATTATTTATGTGAAACTTTGTGCATACATAAATAGATTTGTTTTTTCTTTTCTTTTCTTTTTTTTTTTTAAAAAAAAAGTGACATTTATTTGTGTGGTCATCAAATGTATTCTCACCGCATATTCTCGTTTTTTTTTTTTTTTTTTTCCTGTCCCCTACTCATCCCTTGCTCTTTTCATTTCATTTACTTCTTTAAACTATTCCTCATCTGCCAATCTAAACTGTTCTCTTTCAAAAGAAAAGAAAATGAAAATTGACAGATTTGTTGATACGTCATCTCTATCATCATCATCATCCCTTTACCGAAGTTGTACTATAATAGCATTTCACAAAAAGTGTGCGTTATTGCTCAGTCATTGAAAATGAACAATTTCATTACTAAAATGCTTACTCTTTAAGATTGATATAGAGTTGTTCATTGGTTATTCATTAATATAAGTAAGAAGGAGAGAGAGAGAGAGAGAGAGAGAGAGAGAGAGAGAGAGATTTAAAAAAAGGAAATGTTTGAAGTTTAAAAAAAAAATTTTTAACAATAGATTGTAATTTTTTTTTTCTCTCTCAAACAACATTCATTTTCGTTGAATTTTCTTCAATTTATTAAGTAGTAGTGTAGGAAATTGTATCAGTTAGGTATTACTTTTAATTTACCTTTTCATTTTTTTTTCTTCTTTTTTTTCCTTTTGTTTTTATTTTTGTTTTATTTATTTATTTTTTTTTTTTTTAAATGTTGCCAATAAATAGATGTTGTTAAATGAGATGGTAATTTGCGAGTTTGTAAAATTTTTCAAATGACTGTCAAAATATAAAGATTTCTTTTTTTGAAAAAAAAGGAAGAGAAAGAGGAAAGGAAAATGTATCTATCTTTTTCTTTCTTTTCTTGAAAATACTGGTAGGATGATAATTTTTAACAAAGCAATATTTGACTAATTTTTCAAGTAAATTTAATTTATTTCGTAGGAGGAACCTGCATTGCGACATTAATGGTAATGGTAATTGTCCACATCTTATAACTGATCCAATAACTTTGAATTATTTTGAAATTAGCAAATGCTATGTCAATCTCCTCCTTTTCTTCTTCTTTCTTCTTCCTCTTCTTCTTCTTCTATCATTTCTTTATCGTTTCTTCCTTTATGCGATAACAAAAAAAAAAGAAAGGAAAAAACTGTTTGAGGAAAGAAAAATGAGTGAGAGGAGAGCGTTGTCGAATTTTTATGGGATACAAATGAGCGGGAGGAAAAGGAGAGAAGATGGGAAAAGAAATTGATTGAAAAATTTTTGATTTTAACTGCTATTTCGACTAACTACAACTAATACTAATATTGATATTAGTACTAACTCTAGTAGTGATACTGATAATGATCTTGATAATAACACTGATGCTGATACTGATATCTTGTGATAATGATGATGATGATGGTGATGAGAAGAAGAAAAATGATTTTAAAATAATTGCAACATATCATATATCATTCAGTTGTACTATGTGCTATCAGTATTAATTGAAAAGAAGTTTTGTAAATTCTAAGAGATAACATAGAATGGATAATGATAACAAATAGAGTTAAGGAAGAAAAACAAACGAACAAAGGAGAGATAAAGATATGAGTAAAAAGGTAAAAAGGTAAAAAAGAAAACTTTTAAAAAAATCGGAAAAAGAAAAAGAAAAAATACCGACAATGAAGCCTTAAATTATCAAATAAAATATACTAATGAAAAAAAAAAGAAATTCACGACACATCAACATTTTGATGTGAAAAATTTCTAATGTGACAAGACGAATAAGCTTTTTCTTTTCATTTGCTTACATAAAATGTAGATAGACAAATGTGGTATTTGTACCATATCGTTTGTACACTTGGAGTTAATCGGGGAATCTGGTTATTCTCAGGGTTTGTTATCCGTTTTTTTTTTTTCTTTTTTCATCTATGTAATTCTTTTTTAAATTTCTCTTTAATTTTTTTTAAAAATATTACAAAGCATTTTCCAAATATGAAAGGCATGTAGAAATCGTATTGAACTTTTCTTTGTTATTGTTAATATATGTATGCGTGTATGTGTATGTGTATTTGCTTGCATGTATGTAGATGTGTGTGTATACATGTATGTATGTATGTGTGTGTGTGTGTGTGTATGTGTATGTGTGTGTTGAATCATTTTAACCTCTCTTTGCATTTTGCTTTTGTTCATTCAGAAGCTTATATTTGACAATTTTCCTTCTCTGGTCATAATTTATTTCATCGTTTGAGTGGAAGAGAAAGAGAGAGAGAGAGAGGGAGAGAGGGAGGGAAGAGTGAAGAGAAATTTTATTCATCGTAACATCTGTACTTCTTCTTTCCTTTCAACAATAACCGCTATTTTCATTCTTTCTTTTCCACTTTCTCTTCCTCTTCTTTTTTTCCAAAAAAAGATTTTCAAAAATTTCTCTACAAACTTTCATTGATTTTCAGCAAGTTTCATTATATGTTATGTTTCTCACTCCTCTTTCCTTTTCTTCTTTTTTTTTTCTTCTTTTCTCTTTTTTTATGTATGTAAAATGTCTTTTATATGTGAAAAAGAAAATAAAACAATCAAATAATAAAAAATTTAATTAGAAAAAGTGTCAATGTTATGTGATTAATTTGAAAAAAGAATTTCATTTCGAATACTTTATACTTTTTCCAATTTGTGCAAATATTTGAGTAATGAATGATATTGATCATTGCATTATTATAATTTCAACCTTTAGTTGATTTTTTTTTTTTTTTTTCAATAATTGGTCTAAATTTATAACTGCGGAAAAATTATTTTATAGCAAACTATTGAATATTTCCTTTCATTTTATAATGAATAAAAAGATAGAAAAGATTGTGAAAATTAGTGAATACTGATTACTTTTGAGAATATGTAAAAATTGAGTAAAATGCAAATAACTTATGCCAGAATTTTATAAGTTGGATTTTTTCCGAGATAAATATCAAAGTGAGCCAAAATTTGGGTTGTTTATCTCGATGATATTTGTAATGATAATAACTTAAAAATATTGAAGAGAATGAGGGATAGAATAGAGATCATAATAACTCATAGATAGCGAGAAATTCAGTGCTAAGAAGTAAGTTACATTGAATTTTTTTTCCATAATTTTGTGAAAATTTTTAATCTTTGCATCATTAACAGATAACTAGGATGAATTATTTCGAGAAAGTGCTTGCCGTTTTCAATAAGTTTTGTGTTAATTTCCCGATTCAAAATCGAAATCAATTATTGACTTCTAAAGTTTTTGTTTGTCCTTCGAATTTCGAACTTTTACAAAGATTTTCTGTGCTTGAGAAAAGGACACATACATGTATCATTGTCGAAAACAACAACAAAAAAAAAAAAAAAAAAAAAAAAAAACCGTCATTATTATGTATTAAAACATTTAAACTATTAAAATGGGATTGGTAACATTTCATAGAATGAATACTTGAATGAGAATCATTTAAAAAATGAACGTATAACTATTTATAATTGCATGAATAATCATATAAAAGAATGCAATATTATCTAAATCACGTGTTAAAAAAAAAAAAAGAAAAATTGACATGTGAAAAAAGAAATTAAGCAATTGAGCTAATATTAGCTTCAATTAATATTGCCATTATTACAGCAACATTTTGCATTCCTAAATACGCTCAATCTATATATCAGAGTATAATTTGAATTCAAGTTGTCCTTTTATCTTTTGTATAATGTGGAAAAAAAAAAAGAAAAAAACTATTGTAAATGATAACTTTTTTTTTTCTTTTCACATATCACTTAACTGTATGAATTTTACACCTAACTCATCATTAATTTTGCAATTAAATTATTCATGCTAACAAATTTCACGTGAATTGAATTCAATAAATAAATGCACTTCGTCATATATTTCGTTTATGCTCTTCGTCTATCATTTGTCAAGCATGCATTCCAAACGGCATGACATGTTCTGGTGTGTTATCATCTCTCTAA